CGCGAAGCGGCTGGGACGCGCTCGCAGCACGCGAGCGCCGCGGCGGTAGCGGCCGGCTTCCGACCTGGTGCGCTGCCGCGGCCTCCTCGTCGCCGCCTCGGCCGGTGCCCCGTCGACCGCGCGCTCGCGGCGCCAGTGTCCTCCCTGCGCTTTGTTCGCCTGCGTCTCCTCCTCTCCTCCTCTCCTCCTTCTCCTTCTCCCGCCGCACGCGTCTTTGCGCCTCGCTCTCGGACGGCCCGCGCGCACGCAACTTTATTGATATGAATGCTGGCAGCTCGAGTGTTCCCCGAGTAAGTCATTATTTCGCCACACGCCGCATTATGACATTGCCGCGCGCTTGCTCTTCTTCCTTTTTCCTTGGTCGCGCAATCGGCCCGCTAATTATCCGACTTGACGCACCGTTTCGCGGCAAGCTTACGAGTTCGCCTCTCTCCAGATGTGTCGAAACAGCGTGGAATTCGAATGAGCGCGTCGAAACTTGCTTGGCTTTCTACCGTTGTTCGCTTGGAGAGCGCGTCAGCCAACGAGTATCGTTGCGCCAATAATGCGCTGCTAACGAAGCCAAATAGCTAAAGGTCTTCCAGTTGGAAAGTAGCGATGAAAAAAGCGAGCGTGTAGCGGTCTTCTGGCGCTCCTACTACGGCAGACCAAAGCTCGGCTAGGAGTATAAGCAGCCACGGCTCGCTTTTAAATGGTAGCCTCGAGCCGCACGGCCGGCAGCGGCGTAATCGCGCGAAAGCACACACCTACGCACGCACCTATCCGTCTATCTATCTATCTGCGCGCGCGCGTTGGGAGCTGCTCTGCAGAGCCGAACTGGGCCATCGCGCGCTCGCGCGGAGGTGCGATCCCGCGTCGGGCATTGTTCGCGCGGATCGCGGCGCGCCTCACCTCGGCGGTAATAGCAGCCGCGAATTCCTTGAGAGCTGCGCGTGTGCATTGTGTGTGTACGCGCAACATTGCTCGGAGCACCGCTTCCGATCGTTCGCTCGACGATCGCTGCTCGTTATCGGCCGAACGCTCGTCCGACGCAGCCGACGCAGACGTCGACGGAACGCGCTCGTCTCTCGCTGACCGCGGCTGATAAGATTGCGGTGGGTCGATCGACGGACTGGCGCGACGGACTCCAGCGTGGACGCGACGGGGCCGCGTCGGCGCAGCTGGCAATGGGCGAGTAACCAGGGGACAAATCGACGAAGACGACGACACACCTCGAACCGACGAGGTACCGCTCGAGGCAGGCTTTGCCAGAGCGCGCCGCGTAATGACGCACGTCCAGCCGCTTGTCATTGTTTCCCGTTACGAAACCAGCCAGCCAGCCCTACTGACATTTTGTCCGCGCCGCTAGTTCTCTCCCATTCTGCTATTTTGCCTTTTTCAATTACCGAATAGCCCGTTACGGAATGAAGCTCTGGCCGCCGTGTATTTATTTATACCGCTAGCGAGCATCCTCCCCCTCTCTCTCTCTCTCTCTCTCTCTCTCAGGGCGCTGTTGCCGAGGGTACGCAGACAACGTTGGCACGGCATGTAATTATAAGCTTCGACCAAGATCAATGTGCGATAAGGCGGCGAAATCCGGCGACGCCGAGCGCCGCGTATACTCGCTTGGCTCGCTTAATCCGTCGAGCGATTCGGAGCTGGCGCGCCTCTCCGAAAGTTCCGTTGCGAACGAGGTCGCATATCTGCTGCTGACGCGAGTCGCTCAAGGACCGCCGAACGCGACTAGGACGTCGAAAGGCCGGAGCGAAACGAGCTGCAGAGGAGAGGCGGCGGAGAGGCGGCGGAGAGTCGGCGGAGGAGGAGAAGGATGTCGCCGTGTCGCCTGCGCTCGCGCGTGGATTAAACGTCAACGGCAAGTGGCTGGGCCAGCATCGAGTCGCTTGTCGGGACGCAGGGGGGCGACGAACGTGGAGCGGAGCTGCCGACAACAGGCGGAGCTCCGCGAAAGCTCGCGACGGCGAGGCCGCGAGATTCCCCAAATAGTGACCATTAGCAGGTATGCGCAGAACTCGAGGCGCGCTCGGTCGCAGCCGCGGCAGCAGCAGCAGCAGCAGCAGCAGCAGCAGCAGCAGCAGCAGCAGCAGCAGCAGCAGCAGCAGCTCCGATCGTTTTCTAAAATCTCCGGTCGACCGTGCGTTCGTGTGCGCGATGTAGATACAAGCGGAGTGCGTGGCCGCGCGCAGCTCCGCGACAGAGGCGGAGGACGTATCTTGGCGATCGTGAATCGTTCGGATTTCCGAGCGCCGCGGCAGCGCAAATGAGAACCGAGGGACAGCTCGACGAGCCTTTGTACGAGCGGCTAAATGACAAGCGCGCCTACTCAGGCTTGACCATGCCACTCGTCGCGCCCGTCGCGCCCGTCGCGGCCACTGCAGATTGCAGCCGCAGCTCGCGGAAGTGCGCGGCGCCGAGCTCGACATAATGGCTAAGAAGCCGCGCCACTTGCGGAGCACACTGCCACGCACGTCCATTCTCAATTCCAAGCTCACGGCCGCCTGACCTTTCCGCCTATCTCGCGGCCACTTGCCATTAAAGCGCCAAGAGAACATGCCGACCACTGGCGCGTCGCTCGGTCGAGCCCCGAGCCAACGTCCAATAAGCGTCCTTTGAATTATCGACGGCTTCGCGCTCGGCCAAGCTAATGCACGAACGCGAGAGCCTCCTCCGCCTTTCGCGCTTAATCAACGAGCCGACTGCCACGCATACATTTGGCGTCGCCACACTGGGACTAATAAAGGAGTCGCGGAGCGCGCGGCGCTCTGGGAAAAAGGAAGAAGATCGGCAAGTGGAGGCAGAGTCGCGAGCGCGAAATGGGTTAATTACGAGAGCTAACGGAATAAAAATTGCAGAGCAGCGTGCTCGCGGCGAGGATGTCGGGCAGGAATGTAGACTCGTCGGCGAGCCTTTAATATGCAGGCGCTCGCGTGGCGGACGTGGCAGCCTCCGTGGCGCTCTCTGCCCGGCTCCGCGCTGATTGACAAAGCGTTGGCCGCGAGCTGCCGATAACACTGCGCGGTCGGCCGGGGCTGCGGGGCGCGCGGCGCTATCGGACCTCCGCCGGCTCCGTAACAAGCAGGAGCGAGCGCGAAAAATCGGAGGCAGCCCGTTACGCGCATAAATCAAAAGCCCTCCCCGAGGAAACAAGCAAAAATAGCGGGCTGCAGGTGATTTGCATGGAATAATGTCGTGCCGATCATCCTGCGTCTCGTTACTCGGGCCCGCGATCAGCAGCGATCCTCGGCGCAGAGCCACTTCCGCGCCGCGAAGCCGACGCGACGACTCGGCGGGGGAGGGGGGGGGGCGCTAAATCCCTAATGGACGCCGCACTCGTTCGCCGCGTCGGCGGCCTCTGACGATTATCCGTTTGTCTTCTCGTGACGGCCAGTGCCACCTCGAGCGCCATCAGTTGGCCGATCGCCGCGAGCGCCCGGCGGCGAGAGCATCAAGAGCAGCGGAGAGGGGCAAAAAGGACGCGCGCGCCGACTGCAAGTTTTTCCGCATTGACAGCGAGAGCAAAGGGAGCGGAGCGAGAGCTGTTGGGCGTTGCGTTATTAATGGCGCGGCGCGACTCGCGCGCTCGCGCGCTCGCGCACGCAGCTCAACTCGGCAAGCGAGCGCGCGCCGCTCGGTCCGGTTTTCTGCGGGACACTCCCGCGCACTCTGCATTTTCCTGCCGGCACTAGCCGCGCCGCCGCGTCCTTTTGCTCGCTGCTGCTCGCCGCTCGCGGCTCTCTTTTTAGGCCCGTTCCAGTGCCTTGGCGCTTTTTGCGTGGCGGCGCTCCTTTGCCGCCTCGCTGGCCTGCCCTCGCACGAGAGCTCAATGAGAGAGAGAGAGGGAGGGAGCGAGAGAGCGAGAGAGCGAGAGAGCGCGCCTCGGAGCTAGCTGTGCCGAACCGACTCTTCAATGAACTCGTAAATTCCCATCTCTAATCTTCCATCGTCTCCCTCTCGCGCAGCGGCGGCGCTGATTTTTTCGCGCGCGAGCAAAAATCCGCCGCTGGAATGTTACGAGCAAAAAGCTTTTTCAGCGGCAATTTGTCCGAATGCCAATTGCGGCCTTTGCAAATGCAAGGCCATTTCAGATGCATAGGTGGTACATGCTCGTGCACTTGAGTAATGAACGCTGAAATTATATCTCGGCGGAGTTTTTCAGGCCCGTGCGGTTCGCGAGGAGCGCAATGGAGCGCCCGGGGGATGCCGAGCTTGCGAGCGACAGATCGATCGGCCGGATGTGCCGCGCGGACCAGGCGAACCGAGCAGCTTTCGGCGCCGGCAGCGACAAAGAAGTAGAGCCATGAAAGCCGGCGCTGCCCTTGGCCGTAGGTCGGAGCGTCGGGGCGATGCATCAAAGCCGCGGCCGCAACTGCAACTCGATAATTCCTTAATTCGCCGCAAATTTATTCTTCGGTCTTCGTAACTCGCGCACGCCGAGAGCCCGAGCGGCGCGCAATTGCTGTTGCGCGCTACCAGGCTCGGCGCTCTCGGGGTCTCGGGCCCGCCGATATTATTTATGTCCGCGAGGCGGCAACGACTAGCTGCTCGCTCGCTTCCCCCGAGAGCCGCGCGCTCGACAAAGAAAATCGTGAAACACGCTCTATCCGCTCTCTCGCTGGCTCTTATGCATCTTATCCGGCCGCCCGCACATGGCGCGCCTCGACTCATCTTCTCCGCCGCGCCCTCGGCCCGATCGGTCCGATTGCCGGGGCCAATTAAGCGCGGCGGGCAGCAACGCCGTTCGACCACCTGGACATCGCGACAGCGGCTGCGGGGCTCTCCGAAAACCATAGTGCGAGCGCGCGCTCTCGCGGCTCGCCAGTGCGCTGATTTACGAGGGCCGCTCGCGGACCACGCACACTCGTCACGGCGATTCGCGTCGACGCGTGAATTTCGCGCGCACCGCGCCGCAGCCGAGCTCGCAGCGCAATGGCGGCGGGCCTGCGCCGGCGAACGCGACCGAGCTACCGGCGTGCATTGAAACCGCCGCTGCGTTCTGATTGCAGGACGAGTACAGACAGCGCAGGCGCTTGTCGACGCCGAGCGGCAGCCCAAGTCCGCCGCGGCCCTCGAGGCTGTCGCGATCCACGGGCACGCTGACGAGGCCGGAGCAGCAGTTCCGCGAGGGCAAGGGCTCGCGCGACTCGCAGCCCCAGGAAGCGGCCGAGAGGAGGGGCTGGTTCAAGTCGCTCTCCCGCAAAGCCAAGTCCAGCGCCAAGGTGAGCAGCCGGCCGAGCGGCCAGTGGCACGCGATTACCGCAGCGACGCGCCACGAGAGCCACCGAGTGGAGAGCGCGTGGGCGACACGGGGAACGGGACTCGCGGCGCGCCGCGATCGAGATCGGAGGTCGCGATCGGCGAGACGCGTCGCCGTTTGCGTTGCCGATCGCACACCGGGCCCCTCGGGCGCGCCTAAAAAACGCTCGTCGCACTTTGCAGCCGCTGGACAAGAAGCCGAGGATACCCGAGAGCGAGATCTTGACGACCGGCACCGAGGACGAGGAGGCGTCGTCCGCGCCGGAGCGCGCGTCCGTGCAGAAGAACCTGCGCTTCTTCGGCGACACCGACCAGGAGTCGCTCTCGTCGAGCCGCGAGCGCAGGTGAGTGCCTCGGAGCGGCGGAGGACCGCGGCCGGCCCGCGCGACTAACCGGCGGCCCTGCTGCCCCACAGGAACAAGCGCGGGGAGGAGCACGCCCAGGCGAGGCGCGAGCCGCCGAGCCCGAGCCGCCAGCCCATGGGCCGGAAGTCGTCGCGGCTGGCCGAGAGCGCGCTGTCGTCCGGCGAGAGCACCACCGGCGACAGCAGCCAGCAGAGCCAGAACTCGCAGCGCTCGCAGCGATCCGTGGTGTACCTGCACGCGGCCACAGGCACGGGGCTCCGTTCCGACGCCAGCCCGCGAGGCGAGGCGAGCGCGCCGCCGTCACTGACCGCACCGCGCTTGCTTTGCAGTCGGCGAGATCCCGGGGCCGAACGAGAGACGGCGCGCGGCCAGCCGGGAGGAGCTGAGCCGGCCGCTGGCGGCGCACACGCGCACCGTCTCGCGCAGCGTGAGCGTGCTGGCGCCGTGGCGGCCGCGCCACTACCGCGAGCCCTACGAGATCAACTACGACCAGGAGCAGCAGCACGTCAAGCCGCTGGCCACCACGAGGCGCCGGCAGCGCAGCCGCGAGACCCTCGGCCGCCGTCCCGCCAAGGAGCCGCGCCGCGCCAAGGACCTCAACTCCAAGTCGAGTGAGTGCCGCTGAGCCGTCCAGCTCGGCTTCTGCTCACTCCCTCCCTCTCTCTCTCTCTCTCTCTTCTCTCGTTCCTTGTTGCAGGCACCATCAACCGCGGCAGCTTGAAGCCAAAAGACAGCAGGAAGGTGGGCAGAACCGTGTCGACCGAGTCGTTGGCCAGCAAGTCCCGGAGCGTGAGCTCCAGGCCGGAGCAGCTGAGCAGATCCACCTCGGTGCCGCGCGACCCCAACAAGAGCGCCGGATGGTTCAAGCTCAAAAGCAAAAAGTCCCGGGCCTGACCATCCCGGCCCACTGACCAATGCTAGTCTTGACTCTTATTAAGCATCTTCTCTCTACCCCTTCCCCCTCTCTTCATTCTCCATTACTATTGCTACTATTGTCGTTATTATTACTTTTCACTGTAACGATTCTCCCGTCCAGTCCGTGCGCCTTCTTACTCATCGTCGTTCATCCGTCCCTTCGTCCCTTCGGTCTTCCATTCTGACGTTTAACACTTCCAACATTGGTCTTCCTCGATTCATCCTTAATCCCTGCTAATTGCCCACCTACATCCGTCCATGCCGCGTCTTAATCAAACGCATACACATTCCATCGGCGACATCGTAACGAAAGTCATGCGCTTATCAATTTACTGCCGCCAAGTACTTACAGAAGATTGTATTTACATTGAAATAACAATCATGTACATGCACGCATGCACGTGAACACACACACACACACACACACACACACACACACACACAACGATCGAAATTTTTGGTCATCGAATCATTCATGTAACCTTCTCTCTACCGGATTTACTCGGTTAAATTTCTGGCGATAGATGAGAATGCGTTCAGTGTCGAGCCGGCGCTGTGCGACGAACAAACCTTTGTGATTGTCGATTTAACAAAGACGGTTTTTCAAGTCTATTTTGTCAAATTTTCAGAGAGGACTTTCAAACTATTATAGGAACTGAAACAAGCTAATTTCATTCTGCGTCTGACTTTTGTTACTTTACCGTGAATTAGCGTGCCATTCTGTGTTTTACTGTGTCCTTATTATTTGTCTGCTATTATCCTCCTCGAAATTACAAACGAAAAACAAAAGGCAAAAGAAACAATCAAAATCAGCGGTAATTTGAAATCGAAACGATTGTCGAAAGTAAGGTAAATGGAAGAGCGCAATAAAAAAAAGCGAACGCATTTTCTACGGTTATCTATTATCAATTAATTTGACACGACCTCAAGTATCTTTGTAGTCTTTGCTCGAGTTTGTCGCTGTAAATAGTTGTACTAATTGTATCGTATTGAGCTATTTTTACAATCTCTCGCTTCTATTAAATATTGTCGTCGCGTATGCGGTTATCGTTATGTAATTATGTCGTTCAAGGAATCGTTTCATGCATTTACCCTTCAATTAGATATTTGTTCAATTGTTCGATTTTTGACCTTAATTATTTCGATTCATTTTGTTGAACAAAAAAAACCCTAAAGATGGAATGTTCATTTAACGACTTGGTTAATACCGGTACTGTGAAAAAATTAATTCCTACCTGGTGCTAATATATACAAGTGTGAGTGTGTATATATGACAATCATGTGGTTAGTGTAAATACCATAGAATTTATGTCGCTACATTAAAAACTTATCCTTAAAATAAAATCATCATTAACCTATAGCTCTTACCTTGCTAAATATAGGTTGAAATTGTCCACTGATGGGACGGTACATAGTTGCGGATCAAGTTATATTTTGTAACACGATTAAACAATTTGAAATAAATATAATTCAATACTAATAACGCTTTTTTTTCAAAGATTATATTTTTCCACTGCTATAACTTTTATTTACAAGACTTTCTTAACCGATACAGCATAAAAATGTTCCCATCAAGATGAGGAAAGCTCCAATACATGTCTCTGCAAAAAAAATAGTTTTCTCAATTTCAATTTATAATTTACATGTCAAATTGTTAAAAATTGATGTTTAACTTTCTGTAAAATAAATATGTGTACCTACGAGAATCAACTCTTTCTTCTCCTAAAAGTTTGCCAGTCAAAGCTGTGATGACAAATGTTAAGGAATTTACAGACACAACAGTCAATGATAAGTTTGATTGCTGAAGTAACACAATGTTAAGTATAGAGCCAATTTGATTTATTAGAAAGGGTATAAAATACTGGAAAAGCAATATTTTTTTTCAATTTTACATCAAAGCAGTTTTCATTGATGATAAAATACAAACCTCAAGATTGGTCACTAAGAAATATACATCTTTTAAAAATTGATCAATAACAGATGTTGATTTGACGGTCTCTATTCCTTGTGTGCCTTTTTTCATAAAAGGATTCGTTATGCCCCAAAATAAAGCTACTATCAAGTAACCAAAAACAGTGCCTGCAAAAGAAAACACCATAAAAATTAATCAATTTTTTTATATTGACAAATTTTATTTTTTCAAAATCAATGTTTCTATTGTTGTCTGTGTTTTTATTAGCATTGAAATTGCTCTGTCCAAAATAATATCAAAAACAAAAGATGTATTTTTCATTGACATTTAATGATTAATTTTTTTTACTTCTGAAAATTATATATATTGATAGATAGGATATTGAGTACTATATTAGGTTTAATATGTACATTGTCTTAAATTTATAAAATTTAAAAGAACAACAGAAAGTTAGTCAGTATTTATTCAGTTAATATACTTCACAAATTTATGAACAAACAAATCCTTCCGATTCTTAAATGAGGACAATTTTAATTTAAAAAACTGTACAAATTATCTCTTTCATCTATTCACTTAATATGGATAGTACTTTATGAGGAATGCTTATAAAAACAACCATTTTCTTTTTTGAAAATTTGAAGGAAAGTAAAACAATAAACAGAGTTTAATTTCCTTAAAATTCCATGTACACAAATAGAGCAGAATCAGAAAGGAGTGAAGAGATTATTATTGCTACTTAACGATATTCATTAGATTTGTTACCTTGCAACATACATTTGTCAAGGAAATAAAAAAATTGAAAACAGCTATAAAACAATTTAATGTAAGTGTGTATTTTTAAGAAAGCAAATATTCATTATTTGAGTTGAATTACATAATTATTTTATAAATTAAGTATATCAACTTGATATTTATGCATGACTGAATATGCAGATACAATGTTGCATATTACTTATACTTAAATAATAATGAATGAGTGGTATGTCAATGGCTTTAAATACACCTTACCGCAAATTTAATATTTCATTCTCCTAACACGATTAGAGTTGTTTTGAATTGATACAAAGGAAACTAGAATCATAATTATAGATATGAAGAAAATACATCATTAATAATCTTATTGAAGAGAGTGTATGTAGTTTTTTCTTTTAATAAGATCCTCTTTTTCAATATAATTAAAAAAATACTAACCTAGTGTGATATTCATCTTAAAGTTCTATACATATTCTTTTTTGACAATACAGATTATTCACAAATAAGTTTCCTGTGCATGATACTTTCATGTCAACATTTTTTTCTTTAAAATGTCACTCGTGAAAATAACGGAGTTCTATTACCCCGCACTATAAATGTAAACATAGCAACTACAGATGTCAGTGGACCTCAGACTTGAGACGCCGTGCAAAACGTATGAATAAGTATGTACGTACATATTTTGAGGACGTGGAAGTTATAGCTTCCAAAAATCACTTATTTCGACTTTTTGAAAAGATGATTCATGCAATTGATTCCGCGTCAATTCATTAAGAGAAAGTGAACAGGTATTTGATTGCTCGTCGCCAGTTTGATTGAGATTATATCAATTAGGGCAAAATTATTGAAAATTATTTGTTGCGTTAGTAAAGCTCCGAAGTTTTCTAGAACGGCGGAAAATTTATTTTGAACACGACATATTCAAACAAATATTTTACAAATTTTTATTTAATAGCTCAAATCAAGCATATCTGCAACCGTTCTAATGCTGTCCATTAGATCCTCTTCGAGATAGTCGAGCACGGCTTCTTTATTTTTAACGTTTCTCACGACTCGAGGAGCACCGATTACTTCATGATTAGTACCATGGTGTGCCACAGAAATTAGATTTCCATCCTCACGACCGCATCGAACTCCATCTAATATGATATTTGGATTTGGATGCCTTCATTTAGGAAAATTCAATGCGTACAATTCTGCTGCAGCATTGGCATTACAACCAGCCTGATCGTATGCAATCAATATCTCTGTTTACTCAGCGCCAGTATAAGGCATACACGACCTCTTCCACAACCACCAACTCAACCACCAACTCGACCATCAGCTCAACCTTCACCTCGCCCACGATCACCCATATACGTAACGCAATAAAAATTGAATGCAAAACGATAAAATGCGAACCGCGAAAAAACCTTGTGAAAACAACGAAAATAGTGCCACCACATATTTGTAAAGAAACATTGATGACAAAAGCAAATCAAATTTTTTAATTTAGAATTGAATTTTGTTTAAACGTTGTAATTGATATTGGCAATATCAATTGTATTGCTATCTTGGCAAGAAAATGTTGCAGTTCCGAACAAAAAACAACTCAAACGTATACTTGAAAATTTATGTTAAATTAAAAAATAAAAATTTTAATTTGTACCATCCTCTGATGATAAATAAATCCTTATTTCGTGGCAGTATGAGAATTCAAATTAACAATACCTCTTGCGCATGCGTCAGTACAGTATGACTATTCTGGCGCCAAAGTATTTGAAAATTGTAGAGAACTAAGTTTGCATTATATAAAAAAATATTGATATGGCCACATTTTTTCTGAGTTGAGTGTTAGGAATCAAAGTCATTTCTAAAATAGACACAAACAGATCTTCTAGATCAGTATACCTATGACGAAATGATTGACTCGATAATACTTATATGAAATAAATAACAAGTTCATTTGATTTTTTAGCGTGCTATGGGTATTAAAAAATAAAACAAATCTTGTATCTTTGGATATTTTTATTTTAGAAGTATTACTTTTTTTTAAGTTCTGGACACATCATCTTCTAAGCTGCCATATAGTTATTCAAATTCGAAAACACATTTTATTGACACGATGCATGTGTAATGACTAAGAAAAATCAAAAGAAAGAATTTAGATTAGTATAAAATTTGGAACTGTGTATTTCAAAGATAATTCCGTAGAACAATGTTTTCCGATATTACTGATTAGAGCGAAGCAAGTGGTACCACTTTTTTAGAGTAAATACGTGTATTTAGCGTCAAATTAATTGGAAATGCTCAAGAAACAAATTAGAATAATATATACCTAGAATATAACCTAATATATAATATATAACATGTGCAGACAATGCAGTGATAAAGAATACAAACAATAAAAATGACAAAAATCTAAATAGAAAAAATTGGATACCTAAGGCTATCATGATGTCATGCTAAAAAAAAACTATTATATAATTTATAGAAAAAAAATTCAAAAATCATGATACTTAAGGGCGAATATAAAAAATATACCAAAGCTATAGATAAAGTAATAAAAGGTGACAAAATGAAATTCGAAAAACAACAAGTTCAATTCAATAGTATCAACCCAAAAAAACTATGGAACTATTTAAATACTAAATTAGGAAATAATAAAAAAAGGAAATGACTGGCTAATATTTAAAGATAACAACACAGAGATGAAAACCGCATCAGAAATAGCAAATCATATGAATAACAATTTTTGTAAAATAGGACCAGAGCTTGGCTCGAAAATTCAAAAACGAAATAAGGAAAACCTACATGTACCAAAAAGAAATAGGGTATCTGTATATTTATCTAATATAACTAGTGAGAAAATTCAAAACATTGTTATAAAAATGAAAAACAAGGCAGGTGAAGTTGACGGAATAAATATAAGCACATTGAAAACGATTATACATTATCTAAAAGAACCTTTATAATACATATTTAATTTAAGCATAGAAAAAGCAATCTGGCCAGATCAACTTAAAACTGCAGAATTGGTTCCGATTTATAAAGCAGGAGTGAAATCGGACGCATCAAATTATAGGCACATCGCTAATATCGAACATTGCAAAAATACTAGAGAAGATTATTTATGAAAGACTTTTTTCTTTTGTTGCAAAACATAAAATAATATCGAACAAACAATTTGGATTTGTAAAAACTAGGGGTACAACTGATGCATTACCATACATTTCTGATATTATATACAGGAACCTAGACAAAAGTAGACTACTTTGCTATTAGATCTATCTAAGGCATTTGATACCGTTGATCATCCTGCTGGAGAAATTGGAAAGACATGGAATAAGGGAACATGCTCTGGAACTAATGAAAAGCTACCAATAGACATCAATTTGTTAAAATTAATAATGACATGAGCGTCATGAAAATAATTACCACTAAAGTTCCATAAGGAACAATATTAGGACCACTATTTTTCATTTCATATGTCAATGATCTATTGGAAGACATATTGAACATAATATGCTGATGACACCGGAATGATCACAAGTAATAATATGTCGAGTAAAGTAGCTGATGCAGTAAATAAGAATTTACAAAAGGTAGCTGACTGGTTAACATTAAACAAATTGTTACTAAATATAAATAAAGCCGTATATATACCGTATATATAAAAGTCATATATATATATATATATGACTTTTGAAAAGTACTGCGATAGCGTGCCCGAAATAATAGACATTAAAATAAATAATAATATATTAATTAGAGTAACAGAGAACAAGTACCTAAGTATATTATATTTGATTACAATATGAAATGGGATAAGCATATTAAATATTTAATAAATAAAACAAAGTATTTGCTGTTTATATTTGCAAAATTGAAAAATATTATGGATTGAAAGACACTTATTATAATATATTATGCTTTCTTTCATAGTACTGTCAAATATGGAATAATTGCTTGGAGTTGAGTATATGCAAGTAATCTAACTCTAATACAAAAAATACAAAACAAAATATTAAAAGTCATAAATAAAAATCGTTTTCGAAAGATAATATTCTTACAATCAAGCAATTGTTCCAACTAGAAGAAATAAATTACCATTATGATAGCCTACATAATACTTACATGAAAATGAAAAGTATAACGAGAAATATACCCCAACATCTACCTAAATTTAGTAAAAGAATTAGTGATAAAAATAGCTACCTAGAAGTAAGCGAGACAATACCTGATTAGTAAATAAGAATATTAGAAAACTGTTAAAAATTAAAATATATGTACTCTATAAATAATTATAATTTAGTTTGTTGTCCGTAGTGTGTAAGTTTTGTTTATGTATCCAGCCTATGTACAGGTAACTTGTTTACTTCTTTAGGCAATTACAAATATAGGTGGAATAATCCATGAATTTTGTATTTTTCGATCAATAAATTAAAAAAAATCAATTTTTTAAAGTTATAGCTAGCCGATTAAATTTTCGATCCCGTCTGATAAAAAAAAATCTATTTTGTTTTATAACAGTAGTATATCTTCTAAAGATATACTATTGTCATCATATATTATTGCTAAAAGACAGCCTGAATATATTTTCAAGGTAAGTGCTAAAATTTAACTGACAAAGAGTGACCGTACAAACACCACTTTTTGCCTGTTTTTGCGCATTCGACACAGTCAAGAGAAAAAATCGTAAAAATATTTCAAAAATACCAATGTGCTCGACTTGGAAAATAAAAATGAGCATCACTTTTAGTTTTTTCAAAATTGTCAAAAACCACCCCTATTTAGAGGTTGAAAGAATAATATGATTATTTCATGTACTTTCAAGTAGTTGAATGGAATTGTTTTGATTTATTCGCTTTTGAGGGCTGATTACATCCCCTTAAAGATTCAGGGGTTTGTTTTTCAAGCCTAAAAAAAGGCTTATTTTTCTTGAAATCACTTAATTTTTATTTGAATAGATTTATTCAATAAAAAAATCAAAATCTGGATTCGCTATACATTTTCCGAAATTTTTTCTTCTTATACTGGTACCCACCCTTCATCTTAAAGGTTGATTTTTCATCAAAAATGAAAATAAAACGTAGCTCAATTTTTATTAAGATCTGAAACCTCTCTATGATTTTTTATTGAATTTTTAAACCTGATGTAGTCTCTATTTATGTTCAAGGGATGATTTTACTCCTTAACAGATTTTAGGGGTTGATTTTCACATTCAACAGGTGGTTATTTTATTATTATTACTTTATTATTTTGTTACTTTATTATTTGTAATATTTATAGCTCTCTAAAAGTATTTAATAATTTTTTATCGTTTTTTAAACTATTCTGGTTTTTCTTGATATTTAAGGAATTATTACCCCCTTTAAAAATTTTAGGGTTCGGTTTTTCAACTCCAGTAAGATCTTATCTATATTGAACTTACTTATTTTCAATTTGACAACAATAATTGAATAGGAAAAGTAGATCGTTGGTTAAATTCATAGATGCTGATGATGCTTTTATCATTAACAATTATTATCCTTATATTATAAATTTATATTATAAATTTTATATTATAAATATATTATTATAAATATATATTTATAATAATATTATATTATAAATTTATATCTAAATAAGCTTGGTTTTCGACAATTTTAAAAAAACTAAAAGTGATGCTTATTTTCATTTTTGAAGACAAGCCATTAGTATTTTCGAAATATTTTTACAATTTTTGTATTTTATTTTTCATATTTTCGACAGAATAAATTAATAATTACCTTTGCGATGCTTCTGAATATATTCAATATATTATTGCCTTGCCATCCGAAAAACCGGAGTGTTACGCTGAATTTGTTGCTGCAAAATTCACTGTAAAGCAATCACTTACACCATTTACATCAATTGGCGAAAATGTGGATTTAGAATCAGAAATAAATCTCCCTGTACAAGGTCCTGTAAAAGTGTACGTTACAGTTTCGAATTATCGTACGTTTCATGATTTTCTCGCAATAAAAAATTTATTCTCCGAAATCATTTATGTATCATCAAAGAATAACGAATTACCAATGAATCATAATTTCAATCAATTTATTACATGTAGAATTTACTGAAGAGTTAGTTGATAAAATAATGCCTTATATCAATTCTCACTGTAATTCCTTCAAAAGTGCCAATGGGCCTTTGAAAAATATTGGTACGCAAGAGATAGCAACGGCTGAATGCACTGAGGCTCTATTAAACATTTTTAAGAACAGATGCAAATTCTACCAGGAATTCTTTATTAAACGATTTGTCGAAAAATCAAGATCTATCTGACACAATTCCAAAAATGAAGCTTACGACATTTATGTCTCCTTCACAAGAAAACAATCTTTCAGAAAAATATTTATATGTGACAGAACAAAATCAAAATGCGTAAAGAAATATTAATATAGCAAAGGAGTGGAAATCTTATTTAGAAATGTTGTTTTGTTTCAAACTGACAGAGATCAATCCATTATTTAAAGAAGATGGATCGATGGAAAAAAGAATCAAATAAATGTGATTTAGTGACTGAACTCGAAAAGCTCGCTACAGATCATTCATCTGATAAATTATCCTATACCACTCTCATAGTTGATGTAATGTTAAAATGTAGACAAATTAACCGGAAAGGTCTGAAAACTTTCAGTGATTTTGCTGCTGCTTTTTGCAACTCGGTAAAAACAATTAAACGGTAAAAAAAGGTAAAAACAAGAACAGCTAGATACAAAGAACCACCGATTGAAAAGCACGTAATAAATGAGAATGTTCCTTTGCCGATACGACACAAGCAAATTCATTCTGGGCATTTGTAAAAAACAAAATACGATTGCAAACTTTTCTTCGAGAATTTATTTTAAATCAAAGTTCTCAATTTTGGCTTAATACGACTATAATATGTCGTGGAACCAATGAACCCAGCCAGCAAGGTTTGTTTCCAAAATGTTGCTACAACATTGATTTCCAAACACGGCAACTTAATCGGCAACCAAAAAAAAGGTTTCGGAAATGTTGGAGCAATATTGAAATGTCCGCTTTTATTTGAACCAAAATGTTGCCAAAATGTTATCTCAACAAGTTGCCTCGATGTTTCCACAATGTTGCCACAACAAATATTTGAGAAAATTTGACGCGATCGATGGCTTTGTTGTAGTAATGTTACTGCAATGTTGCAAAAGCGCGGTCACGCAACATTGTCATAACGACGATACAACACGTTGACAACAATCTCCCTGTTCCAGAAGATGTTAGTTCCAACTTGTTAGCAACCTTCTTGAAACATTGTGGCAACATATCGATCTACAGGAATCAACTGCGAAACATTGTAGCAACATTTCCTCAATGTTCCAGCAACGGCTCCAGGACATCACCAAAACATTAATGAAAAAAATATAAAAAAAATCATTTTTCGTTTATGCATATGTAATGAGTATAATTTTGAATTTTTTTTTCAAAATCTTGTTTTATTTTTCGATGAACAAAATGTTACATTATTTAGTTTACAAACAACTTATAATCTTAATAATACGTACAAAGCAGAACAATTTGATAATATCGTCTTATTCTTAATATCAACATTTTCATTAATCTCGCAAGGCAACAATCTTAGGCTTTTTTTTTTGGTTACGCTTTTTCATTATATTAAGCTCTACACAAAATTAAAATTGCGCAAAGTGGCTTTATGCACTTGGATTTCTTACGCAAAAAATCACATTCAGTCTGATATACGTTCGTCGATTTTTTTTTGTCAACGCAGCGGTGTGAAACAAATTTTTTTTTTCATATTCATCGAGATGAGATACACCTTTTTTAGTATTTTATATTTTTTTCGGATAGGGTGGTACTTTTTTTACAAAAAAAAAACGTTTCAAAATCAAAATATCTACGAAATAATATTGACCATTATAGGAAAAAAACACATAGTTTCTCTCGAACGTGTGTTTTTTTTTCAAGTAAAAAGTACAATAATTTTTTTGTCAAGCATGAATGTAGAGCTAATTTGAAGGAATGTGTCATCTATAAAGTGAAACTATTTTTATAATCATCTTATATGTAAGAAGAATTCAATTTTAATCGGACTTTTTTTTCATGATTATTGGTCGAACAGTTTGAAAAAAAATCCGCGGCCGCAAATAAACTACTAAAGATTTTTTTGTTCAGCTTGTAATGAAAAAACACGGCAATTAAAAGCTAAATTTTGTTGAAAACACATTCATTATTTTATATTATTGAAACCCACCATCGTAAACATTGAAAACAAAGTTTTTTTTCAAACTCGTTCAACGGAAGAATAAAACATTTTGATCGCCTCCTGTACGAAAATATTCCAACACAGTCAGATACGGTCAAAACAAATTTGTTTTTTTTTCTTATCACGCAGTAGTTCAATTATAATATGTATTACGAATCCGATATTTCGATATATTTATACAGCCGTCATTGACAATCTTTGAGATCTTAAATTTAATTATAATATAAGTACAGCGATGTATAACTGATTTTTTTTCATATTCATCGAGATGAGATAAACCTTGTTTTATACTTTATATTTTTTTCGGACATTGTAATGAAGTGTTTTTTTTTTCAAATAAATTTTGCAAATCAAAATATCTGCGAGATAATATTGACCGTTATAGGAAAAAAAAATAGCTTCTGCCGAACATGTATTTTTTTAAAATTAAAACTTTTTGAAAATCTCGCGCATGAAAGCATTCCAACAAAGTCAAATACGCGCGAAACAAATTGGTTTTTTTCTTATCGTACAGTAGTGTAAGAAAAAAAAGAGGCTTTGGCAATAGCATTCTGCCTGGAATATCTTTATATTTTTTTTTGTTAACGCAGCGATTTTTCTTTTCATATTCATCGAGATGAGATAAACCTTTTTTTATACTTTATATTTTTTTTCGTTTGCAAATCAAAAGATTTACAAGGTAATAATGACCGTTGTAGGAAAAAAGTATATATAGTTTATCTCGACGATTTTTTCTTTAGTGCGAATTTAGCGCAAATTTGAAAGAATGTATCATCTACAGAGTGAAACTATTTTTATAATTATCTTATAAGTATATAAGAAAAATTCCATCTCAATCGGACTTTTTTTCAAGATTATTTGAAAAAGAGTTTCAAAAAAGCACAGAAAAAAGAAAAAATAAATTATTTTGAACATTTCAAGCATGAAAGCAGAACAGCCACATGTAATTTTCGTTGCACAAATGCAATATGAAGTAAGATGGCATTTACTACGCTAAAACGTCTCGATTTTTCTGTTGTAACGTTTCAGTCTTCATTTTCTTCTTCATGAATCATATCTTCAAGGGTCAGCTTTTTTTTTCTAAAATGAAAAAAATAATCGCGATAAAAATATCTTCATATTGCGCTTATTCGACAATAATTAAAAATGTATATACTTTGCATTTCTTTTCCTTTTTTTCTCCAAATTAAATGGTGCTTGTCTCAACCATGCGCCACAGCTTGTACCTGCTGCATCGAATGTATAGCCCTGATGTTTGTGTGCTTCCACAGCAATATCTTCAAGAGCATAAGGTAAAAGATAAATGCTGTAGATGTTTGATGCACAATATTCTAATAAATACATACCTCTGATAATTTTCCAGATTTTCTGTGCAGAAAAATTAATTTTCGTGTTGCTCATGCCGAGAAATGTAAAGTAAGAGCCAACTTTGTCACTCACAGTTCGACTGAGCATGGTGTGAACACGCCTATGCCCGGTAGGTCCGCCAAGATCGCGCAAAAATTCGGTCTAGAAATATAAGATAAAAATGTATTCACTTAAAAATTGAAGTATACTTCAATATTACTTTAAGTGAAAATACGTTGAAAGACTTACAACTGCGGCAGCGTATGCTTCATTCTCTAATTTGGTTTCATTTTCTTTGAAGTGTCTCAAAGATGTGGCTGGAAAATCTTCTCTAACTTTATCTAGTTTGTAGGCTGAAGACGCCGGAGAAGATGTATATGCAAGTGCAGAATTATTTCCTGCAATTGCTTGAAATTTTAAATCCTCCGAAATACGATGATGATTACGACAAACCTCTTGGACACCAACTGCAAGCATATAATTTTTCGTTATTGTTTATAAATTATAAATCAAGACACCAAGACACTCTGACGAGTGAAAAGTACACCTCGTCTATAGTAATCAATATATATAAAATTGGAACATAAAACTTACGCAAAGTACACTTAAACATCTCGTCTGAATTCATAGCATTGAGATCGTTTTCGTCTATGTTTAAAAAATCTTTCGGCGAAAAGTCCTCCTTTACTGTTGAGTTGGCCATGTGAATATCACTTGAAATCCTTAGTGAGTTCTTATCTTTTTCAAGATCTTTTTCTTTCTTGTCAATAAACTCGCATGCCAAGGCATATGTTTCTGAAAAATATTGAAAATGTTTATAAGCATTGGTAATTATTTGCAATCAACATTTCTGTGGCTTCCCGGCATAACCAGACATCTGGTTTTTCGCGATTTCAAGTTGTCCCTTTTTCAAATACGAATAAAATATTAATGATTGGCGAATTGCATTCAGAAAGTTTTTCTAAGGGTTCCTATTATTAGTAATTAAGACTAAAAATCAATTCCATAAACGAAATGTTAATTATAGATGTTCTATTCGTACTTAAAAATGAGATAACTTGAAATCGCGAAAAACCAGATGTCCGGTTATGCCAGGAAACCACAGATTTTTATTTCTCAATTGTAATTTTCAAAAGTAGAAAATAAGTTGAAAAAAAGTTTATTGTAGCTAATTCAAATTGAGGAAATGAAATCAATTGATTTGTTCAAGTGGATTACCTGCAGAATCGATGAATTGCTTGATACTTATGGTTCTCCAGTCGTCACAAGGTTTTACACGTTGAACAATGTAATTGCGTACAAGATTTTTTGATTCATCGGGAGGCCAACGGGTAGTCGTTTTATCTTTGGATACCCAGATGGATGGAACCACCGTTAGATCGCGCCACTTCAACAATTGAACAATGTTCTAAGGTTTGCCTTAAAAAAAAGACGTTTTATAAATAAATGTTATAAAAGCAAAGAATAAATGATTCTTTTCATAACATTATTAAAAACGGGAGCAATTAGAGAAGATAGTAGTTGTGAGAAATGAACGTGTACATACCTTCAGTGGTACTTTCACTTTTGGATAAATCCTCGTTACTTGTAGATTTTTGTTGACCCGATGGTGCTTGAGATGTATGAAAAGCTTCTTCATTTTCAAGTGTTTCAAGTGGTCCTTTGGGTGAATCTTGAGTCTCAGCCAGAACATTGGTAATTTCATCCATATTTTCCTCTTCAAGCGCAATGGTACCATCACCAACAGCGTTGTCCTGTATGTTATCAAATTCATCTTTCTTCTTGTGCAAGAGATCATCTAAACATTGGAATACATGCATTGCAATATGAAAAATTATTAAGAACTTTGTTGTTAAAAACATGCAATACAATTTACACAAAAGATTTTTTAGAATTTAGTGAAATATTCTAAAGTTGAGTTGAATATTAGAAAATGGTTATATACAATTTTCAACATTATTTTTATAATTGTACGTCATCAAAATTATTTATTTCTTAATAGAGAACAATTTCCAACTTATACCTTCATTCATCGAGTCGCCATCCTCCATCGATTCATTGTTAGTTGCAAAGCTTGCCTCTACAGAATTAGAATTTGTTGAAGAATTAAGTGTATCTAAATATCTAAATAAATATCATGATTAAAGATTATATTCTAGAAGGCAAACAATAAAAAAAAATTTTATTTCAAGGCATATATTCTAATGTGAACATTAAAAAATTACTCGATTACTAAATCGTTGATGTATTTTATCAATCTTCAATTTTTATTTAGCATATATTATTTTGGAGAATTATGATAATTAATTTAAAAAAAAATAGTTTTAACGATGAGACTTATGAAAAAAGCGATTATAGAAATAACATTATTTTGGAATATTATCAAGTGTTGATAAATAAATATTATGTAAACTCACGAGGTTTAAAGATTTGGTCTTGCGGCACGCGGGGCGGCGTCTCCTCAGGCACGTTTGATCCATCATTTTCGCCGGTACGGTCACTTGATTCGTCTGATTCAGAATCGGACGAATCAACTTCAGCATCGTATACGTAATCGTCGTGCTTCTTTCGTTTTCGATTCCTCTTGGACTTCAATGTCAACCTTTCTTGCGCTTCCTTCATTTGACGATCGTACTTTGCGTCAATATCAGTGCAGTTTTCATCCGAAGAAGCTATTTTTTCTTTGGCTTTAGCTTCTAGCAATGTGTCTATGAAAGAAATAAATATTGAATTAAGTACATTTACGAGAAGGTGAGAAATAAAAATGCAGTTACAATATTCTCATTTCATGGTCTCTCGCGTTGAAAACTCCACTCTTTGATGGCGATATGTTATCGGTAGTTAATGAGTGTTAAACTTTGTTTGCAACGCGTTTACGAAGTTTTATCAAAATAATCCTTATGGGGCGACTATATACCTATGCTATTGAGAAGTTAAATTGAACTTTATTGGTATACAATGTTAATCATTTGCGAGAATAAAAAAATTTGATTTCAATGACATCGAAGAAAAGCTTATATCTTTGATTTTAAATTCTCGAGTTTTGAAAATTACGTTACACGGACTTACAATTCATTGCACTCGAGTGAGTGTGTGTGTAAGCCAAACGGCATGTAAATTTAATTTGAGTTACTCGACACGAAGGAGAAAGAGATAGAGAAAGAGAGAAGCACGAGAGTATTTGTTTTCCTCTGAGAGCAATAAACATACAAAAACACGTAAATGAAGTGAGAATTATCCGAACAAAATCGGGTGAAAAACGAGATAATATACATTTTGTACAAACCTTGTTTATTTCATTAAAATTGTTTAAATCGAATCGCATTTATCAAATGATAAGCATTTTATGCTCATTGAACGGTAAAAACATATAAGTGCATTGATAATTTTTTTATTTTATTCGGTATTTTTTTTCAATTGAACTAAATACAATATTCGAATAAAATTATTAAAAAAAATTCACATCGTAAACGAAAGTAACTTACAGTAAAAAAAATTTTATTATAAAATATTCAAAAACCGGATATTGTTGACGTTCCGCGTACATAAAAAAATTGCAAAATTTTTAACAATCCTTTTAGGTTTTTCGCACGTCCAGAGACGTGTGGCTATATAGAAAAATATGAGCATCTCTTTTCTTTTTTTTTTGCTTTTTTTTTCTGCGTAAATAGTCGCAGACACGCGACACTTATATATACGTGGAAAAAATCGTAAAGCTTTGGCCACGCGAGGCGACTCCACGTGTTGCAAGCAAGCGTTATATGCGTCCTGTTAGACGAGAGAGAAATAAAAAAATCGACTTTTGAAATGAGGGTGAAGGAAGTTGATTTTCCCTTTTTTTTCTTCTTTTCTTATTTAAACATTTTTGTATCCTAGCTTACAAATGATTTATAATACATCGTCCAACGAATTCGACTCTTTTCAAATTATTTATATAAAAAGTTTTTATGTCGACTATCCATTTTTCTTAAAAAAAAATAAAAATAAAGTATATTTGTTAAACAATGAAAACTTCTAAATCACTATCGCGTACTCCCAAAAGACTTAAGATTGCAGCTAGTCGTATGTGCAACGATCGATTTCCCACTCAACTCACGAAAAAGCATCGCGCATCGGATACTGAATTTCATTCGACAGCGTAAAGCATAGATAACAAACTCCAAACAGCCGAAAAAAAAAATAATAAACTCACCGGCAGTTCCAAGAATTTCCACACAGTACGTAGGCCATGAATTCTTGCTTGCTGACCTTTTCTCTATCATCGCCTGTATTTCATACTCGCTTTTCTTGTTTGGCCACGAGCATTTAACAATTTGTTCACTCTCTTCTGCATCTTCATCTTGTTCTTTTAACCAATTTTCTGGTACTGTGGTGATTTCCGATGATTTGACAAATTTCACTACTTTCAGTTTGATTTTTTTCTTCATACCACTTTCCCTTTCACTTTCCATCTTTCACACGTTACCACTACCGTTTTATTTATAGAAATAAGTTCTTTAACAATTAAGAGCGAATTAAGCGAAGAAACTTTTACTTGGCTGACTAGGTATATACGACAAAACGCGATTGAAGACCGGTAGGCGCAAGCACGCTGGCACGCACGCTGCTACATCGCTGAGAGATATATGAGAGACAAACACAACCGGCAGGCGGCAAAAATGGCGGTGAGTGATCCCCTCTTTCTTCCCGTTGCTCCGGTACATACATCGACTATCTGAGTCTGAGCTCCGTATACACACCAGCACCAGTATAGCGGCTGCCGTTGTGTTGCGATGTCTCACTGCCTTGCTCTGATCGGCGTTGACTAGCTCGCTTCTCGCTTAGCTTAGATTTTGTGAAGCACGTAAACTTGGCAACAACGCAAGTTACGTTTAGATTCGCCTATGCATGGATTTGCCTAACTGGTGCGGTTGCCAAATCTCGTACCACGCACGCACAAGAGTATTACTCGGAATTGTTGGCATGTGAAATCCACCACAAAAAACTTTTTTCATTTTGGCCTTTGTGTATGTACGTACCTCCGGAGTGATTTTTGGAAGTATCGGAGCAGTACATATCATACGACTTCGTTAAATTCTATGGTTCTCGGACCTGTGTCATCTGTGCAAGCCTTTTTGCAAAATAAAAATCTTAGGGTAATAGTATAAAATTACAACACTTTCTTATTTGATTCAATAGCATTCATAACCTACAAATGTGCGTAATTTTATAATTGGTGTTTGCACTGACATTCTATTTTGAATTACATGCTGGAACGAAGCAAGGTGTTTTGAATTGACTCAGTATTGAGTATTAGTATCAATGAGATTTATATGTGATACCTAAAAAGATATTCAGATAATAACATTAGATATTTTTCAACTACAAATTCAGTGACAATTTCAATGAATTTATTTCTTTATTGCTTTTTCAACCATAATTTTAAGCTATAACGATAGTTATATCAGTTATTTATATGAAATGCTTATACTATGATCCATCATTAGTTATTTTATTCAATTTTTTTTATAGTTGACAAGACATATTGATTAATATGTGAGGTTTCAACTACTTGTGGAAGAAATGTTGATATAATATGCTAGGAGTCCTGATACAATAACAGAGTGTCACATTTTGGACTTTGAACCAAGGGAGTCAAGAAGTTGAAGATCCAGCTGAAAGACCATGGTACTTATAAATTTATAAGTAAGAAATAACTTGATCTCACGATTGTTTCAAAGGCAATCAGTAAGTTTGATACTTGCACGATGAATTTTTTAATTATATTAGATTATGTTGACCTGCATACGTCATTATAACATTAGTCATTTATCTTTACTAATACTATGTTTTGGGTTTCACATTACATATGGATATATAACATAAAACATACAAACTTATATTGATCCATAGTTCAATCAATAATATTATATTTTCAGTTATGAATTGACTCTATTAAGCAACTAACGACCTTTGCCTTGGCTTTGGGCATGAGAAGAACTCAATACGAGCTCATTTCTTTCTCGACAGAGACAGTCTAGCACAATGATCATGAAGTTCTTCTATGTGGTGGACTGCTGTATAGTTAGGATAATTTTCATCGCTTGGTGATAGACCAGAATATATGCATTATTTCTAAGTAAGTAATCATACCAAAAATTCATTGAAAAATTTTCAATGATAGCTCAATCTCATTTTCAAGTATCTTATTAATTTGTTTTTTTTTGCATACTCCACAGGGACATCTTCAATTGAAACTGCTATCAATTACGCAATTAATTTACACACAAGATGAACAAGGTATTTATTAATTTTTTTCTGAGAGATAGGCAATTAATATGATGGGTTTTTAGTTATAATTTCTACATTATTTTCTCACATTGAAGGATGGAAATTGAAGTCCTTCATGTAGGATTATCAAATTTGTACACTGATTCTATTTTATACTGCAAAGTCAATTGTACCAATATATTTCTGTTCAACTTTATCATATTAATTTGACTGTCTTTTTTTATTGAAAATGTTCCATGCGTATACTACTTTGACCATAGTAGTTGTTTGAGTGCTCATTTTCATCGATGAAATTAAGCTTATAAAGCCACCTAAAATTTGTCACCGAAACCAACCTTCAATTAAAATAAGCCATTAAATGTTCAAATGAGGTTGACTATTTATCAAACTTTCAGATTAAAATTATATTTGATGGTTTATTTTAGTGGGAGATAGGTGTCGATGACAATTTTTATTTGAATTTAGTAAGGTTGGTTTGATCGAACAAAATGAGCCTTTAATAAAATATTTTGGTCAAAGTAGTATGCGGATGGAACTTTTATAACAAACTGAAAAAAAGCAGTTTGATCTGTTTATTAGGTGAACATAAACTAAGAAAAAATTATAGCAAAAACACAAAATTATCGTTTTTTTATGTACAATATGTAGACAAAGTTTCAAAATCTTTGGTCTAAAAAGAAAAAAATTAAATTTACTCTGGATATCCACCTTATAAGTTTCATATTTATATCAGTCATTGAATTCTGAACATATTATATTAAAATTGAAGAGTATTCAAAAATCACCATCGCGATTTGTTTGCCAAAGAACTTTTTTTGCTGCTACATATAGAGAACGTCGAAAGTGTTATTACAGAAAAAAGTGGTGGCGTTTCTTTCTATTAAATATCCATAAGGATATTTAATAGTGTGTGTGTGTGTGTGTATGTATGTAAATGACTTTCGCATCATCTTGGCGAACCTATTAGAGTAATTGCTTCATTTGTTTTTCTAATCTATTGGATTGTGTGGTGGGTCGGTGGGAAAAAAGATTTATCGTGTTATAGTGAGTAGAAAAAATTTTATAGTCATTTTTCGACAATGAAGTATCGCAAAAAATTTTCGGGTTTTGGTGACTCAAATTTGGTTGTACCTTGTAGCGATTATTTTTGCTTTTATTCTTCCAATTTTTTGTTTATTATTTGAATTTTCATTTAAGTAATCGGGAGACACAAGAATCATCCAGTTTGACTGATTAGAAAATTTTTTAGAGTCACTCAACTGGAACGTCGTTTTTTTCTGAATTTCTTGTTTTTCGTTCAATTTTGTACCAGTCACCGTTGCGAATCTATGCTTGCTAGGGATTTGAAACATTTTCCATTCTCTTCTTTGAATGCTGAAAGTAGCCCGGAAAACAGCCAAATTTAAAATAACTGCATTTGTCAACATTGAAGTTATTTGAAAAATGGGTAGCAACGATTATAAAAGAGTACCGTTTTTGACGCTTTACCAGGAAGCACTCCGCCAATGCAGTGAATCCTACAAAGCCTGTCAATGTTTGATACTCTATAAACCCTTAAAAATAGTAAAATTTCGAGGTGTTTGCACATTTGAGTGAGATTTACGTGTTCAAAGAGCTCTGCGAAGGTCAAATTGTGATGAAAAATAAAACTGAATATGTTTTTCGATGTATTTTGAGCCGTAGAATTCAAATCTGAAATCAGATTTACGCTATCTTTTTTTAGTTTTTCTGTAAATTTGAAAAAACGACGAAAATTCATAAAAAGTTGATTTTACTTGAATTTATTCAATAAGAAATTTTGTATTTTACGGAGTTTCCGACTTTGATAGGCTCTGTAGGGCTCAAAATTAGGAATAAAAAATAAATGAGGTATGGTTTTTGATGTATTTTGAGTCATAGAATTCGAATCTGAAGTCAGATTTTCGCTATCGTTTTTTTGTTTTTCATATAATTTAAAAAAACCATGAAAAGTTAAGTTTTTCTTTGGTCTTTTTTTTTAACTTTTATTAAGGAAAAAAGGTTGTCACACGGGCGAGCCGTTGTGGGCACATGGATTTTCTGGTTCCATATTTGATGTAGAATAAGAAAATCATATTTGTAAGGCGTGCACTCGATTTGACTTTTTTCAAAAACTGTCCCGAATTATGAGGCATTTTTTGTGGAATTGCTCATATGTGCGCTAAAAAAATCTGAAATTGCCTAAAGATTTCTTTTTTTTTATGTACTAACATAGAAAAAATCGCCGGCGAAATTGGTGAACTCACCTGCGCACCGATTATTAAAAAATTGGTGGAATTGCTCACTATATAAATTTTATATTATGTTTACGAGAACACATCTCGTGAAGCGAACCACACAGAATATTGTGATTTGGCCAAAGAATAGCTTATTAGTCTAAAAACAACATGTTTAAGTTTTGTGCATATCGAGAATGGCCTTTTAGAAAATTATGTTTTTTTTTTTCAATTTTTCCGGTCTTTCGGAAAATTTAGCAAAGATATTGGAACTTCGAAAACAGCATCTTGAAGCTGATTGGAATTCCGACATTGTGAAAAAAAATCTACCCGATACAATGAATGCGCCGAAATGGCGGCCAACCGAATAAACTGCATAGTCTTAAAAACGATTCTTAACAATCAGATCTTAAAAACGATTTTACGATGTATACTTTGAAATGACACTATAGGGCTAAAAGGGAAAATCACACGTATCTCAGAATTATACATAGAATGTGATATAATAGTTGTATGAAAATCGAAATCCACTTCATTAAGAGGATGGCGTATCAAACCCTAACCTCAAAATTTCGTAGATTCCATTATACGTAATTAATTTACAATTTTCTTGAATTGTTGGAATTTAATAATAATCTATAGATTATTCGTCATCCGGGATGACTTTAATAATCAATCCGAAGTGAATATTGGTGGAATAACAGCGATTTCAAAATTACGCAGCGTAGAGAGCCCTCCGAAATAGGTCTCCGTCGATTTTGTTTTTCTCGCTCAATTTTTACTTTTTGACAAATTTGAAAGTCATCCCGGATAGTTTATGACCTTGAGAATACAGAAAGACCAATTTTTTAAATCTAAATTACAAACTGTTGATGTATAACGACTTCCTGCAAAGCTTAAATTGGTTACGCCATCCTCTTAATAAATACATAGATGATATTGTGTACAATTAAACAAGATTATACTTTGGCATTTCAGGTGGCTCAATAACGGAGTAAGCGCTCGATTAACGATAGGATGTACACAAAAAGGCACAAAAGAAGACTCGTACAAAATAGAACTGAGAAGAATATGGAAGTAATAAAGAAATTCATCAAGAAATGTGTTGATAATAGAAATGATTATAGCAATGTAGCTGATACTCAGTCATCAACTACGCAGATACAAGAAAAAACTGATGAAGTTTACTTGATTAGCAACGAAATCATTGACCCTATCAAGAATAGTAATGAAACTCTAACTAGCAATTTTCATACGAAGATACTCGGCTGTGAAACCATTGCTGACAAATTTACAAATGATGAATGGTACGACTGTATCGACGAAGATATAATAATGAAAGACACTGAATTTGAATACCGGTATAGCGATTGTGAGGATAGCGGGTACAGCGATTGCGAATCGAGTGATGTTTGTGAGGCCGACGATCCTAGTAGTTCAGTTAATTATAAATTTAATGTCACGAATACTTTATCTGATAATAATTCAAAGAGCGAAAATATCGGTAATGTGTCTGATCAATTAAAAACTCTACTTCCTGAATGGGTCATTGACAATAATATAACACAAACAGCTTTCACAGACCTTTTGCACCGACTGCGTCGAGATGTTCCTTCACTGAAATTACCATTAGATTCAAGAACTTTACTTAAAACTCCTGAACATACAGAAATTTACAAAATAAATGGAGGCGAATACTGCCATTTTGGATTATCTTCATGTTTAGAAAAAATTGCACTAGATAGAAGATTATTAAAGATTGAACAAAAAACCATAGATCTATTAATCAACGTCGACGGAGCTCCAATGGGAAAAAGTACTGCAAAAACGTTATGGCCTATATTGTGCTCGGATAAGCTAGGAAAAAATGTTTATATTGTAGGCATCTTTAATGGATGTTCCAAACCTGAAGATTCTGATGAATTCTTGAAATTTTTTATAGAAGAAGCGAAGAATTTTGTTAATAATGGTATCACCATATTGAAAACGCATTATAATGTAATCATTGATGGCATAATTTGCGACGCCCCCGCAAAAGCCTATATATTGGGAGTGAAATGCCATTCAGGCTATTCTAGTTGCACGAAATGTGAAATTGTTGGTCAAATGAAGAAATGCGTTTGTTTTCCAGGAGGGATTTCGACTTTAAGAGAAGATGCCAAATTCAATGAGTTTGCCTATTCCGATGAAGACAAAAAAAAAATTATCAATTAAAAAAATCAAGTTTATCAAAAATACCTAAACTAGGTCTAGTATCTCAAGTCCCTTTGGACCCGATGGACTTGGTATTTTTGGGTGTCTGTCGCAAATTATTTTTGATTTGGTTGTTCGCGCGACTTTCTTGTAAACTTCCAGCATATGTAATTAATCGCATTTCTGCTGCAATGATCACATTAGCCGATTATATTCCATACGAGTTCGCCAGGAAACCACGAAGTTTCAAAGATATTAAATTCTTTAAAGCCACAGAATGGAGACAAATCTTGTTATACATTGGTATAATTGTTTTGAAAGATAATGTATCTCCTGCTATCTACAACCATTTTGTAGTTCTACACGTTGCTATAAGTATATTCAGTAATCCATTGATGTGTAAATATAATTCTTGGATCGATTATGGTGAAAAATTGCTGTGTATGTTTGTTCCTACATTTCAAAAGCTTTATGGTCGCCGTTATGTATCTCATAATGTGCATGGTTTGTATCACTTAGCTAATGACGTACGAAGATACGGAGAATTGGATACATTTTCAGCCTTCAGGTTTGAAAACTTTATTGGACGAATAAAAAATCTAATCCGCAATGGGAATCGGCCCTTACAACAAATATCGCGCAGAATAACTGAAATCGAAAATCGAAAGAGTAAAGAATTTTACATGTGCAATGACAATATTCCGATTTTTAAACAACAACATCATACAGGTCCTGTAGCAGACCAACCTACAGATGTATTACAGTACAAAGTTGGGATATTCGACACATTCAAGATAAATTGTGATGATGATAAAAACAGCTACGTCTATGTCAATCATCAGCACGTAGTTAAAGTTTTGAATATTGTATGCAACAACAAAGATTACTGCATCGTTGGAAAGAAATTGGATATTCTAGGGCCTGTATATACGCAGCCTCTGTCTTCTAGTCAACTAGGAATTAATGTTGTACAGAAAAACGACAGCGCGTCTCCTGAATGTTGGAAAATTGATGATATTACAGCCAAAGTGTTAATATTACCATACAAGCAAGTTAAAGTAGTTTTTCCGATTCTACACACACTACGCAATAAAAAGGAATAAAATTTCTTTGACTGTTACAGTGATTTGATTGTATAAAGCTGCTGCTATTTGTAAAATCATACCGCGCGACTTATAGAGAAAAACATCCGCGTTCTTGTACTTGTATTATAATTAATCTCGATGAATATGAAAAAAAATCAGTCATACATCGCTGTACTTGTATTATAATTAAATTTAAGATCTTAAAGATTGTCAATGACGGCTGTATAAATATATCGAAATATCGGATTCGTAATACATATTATAATTGAACTACTGCGTGATAAGAAAAAAAAACAAATTTGTTTTGACCGTATCTGACTGTGTTGGAATATTTTCGTACAGGAGGCGATCAAAATGTTTTATTCTTCCGTTGAACGAGTTTGAAAAAAAACTTTGTTTTCAATGTTTACGATGGTGGGTTTCAATAATATAAAATAATGAATGTGTTTTCAACAAAATTTAGCTTTTAATTGCCGTGTTTTTTCATTACAAGCTGAACAAAAAAATCTTTAGTAGTTTATTTGCGGCCGCGGATTTTTTTTCAAACTGTTCGGCCAATAATCATGAAAAAAAAGTCCGATTAAAATTGAATTCTTCTTACATATAAGATGATTATAAAAATAGTTTCACTTTATAGATGACACATTCCTTCAAATTAGCTCTACATTCATGCTTGACAAAAAAATTATTGTACTTTTTACTTGAAAAAAAAACACGTTCGAGAGAAACTATGTGTTTTTTTCCTATAATGGTCAATATTATTTCGTAGATATTTTGATTTTGAAACGTTTTTTTTTTGTAAAAAAAGTACCACCCTATCCGAAAAAAATATAAAATACTAAAAAAGGTGTATCTCATCTCGATGAATATGAAAAAAAAAATTTGTTTCACACCGCTGCGTTGACAAAAAAAAATCGACGAACGTATATCAGACTCAATGTGATTTTTTGCGTAAGAAATCCAAGTGCATAAAGCCACTTTGCGCAATTTTAATTTTGTGTAGAGCTTAATATAATGAAAAAGCGTAACCAAAAAAAAAAGCCTAAGATTGTTGCCTTGCGAGATTAATGAAAATGTTGATATTAAGAATAAGACGATATTATCAAATTGTTCTGCTTTGTACGTATTATTAAGATTATAAGTTGTTTGTAAACTAAATAATGTAACATTTTGTTCATCGAAAAATAAAACAAGATTTTGAAAAAAAAATTCAAAATTATACTCATTACATATGCATAAACGAAAAATGATTTTTTTATATTTTTTTCATTAATGTTTTGGTGATGTCCTGGAGCCGTTGCTGGAACATTGAGGAAATGTTGCTACAATGTTTCGCAGTTGATTCCTGTAGATCGATATGTTGCCACAATGTTTCAAGAAGGTTGCTAACAAGTTGGAACTAACATCTTCTGGAACAGGGAGATTGTTGTCAACGTGTTGTATCGTCGTTATGACAATGTTGCGTGACCGCGCTTTTGCAACATTGCAGTAACATTACTACAACAAAGCCATCGATCGCGTCAAATTTTCTCAAATATTTGTTGTGGCAACATTGTGGAAACATCGAGGCAACTTGTTGAGATAACATTTTGGCAACATTTTGGTTCAAATAAAAGCGGACATTTCAATATTGCTCCAACATTTCCGAAACCTTTTTTTTGGTTGCCGATTAAGTTGCCGTGTTTGGAAATCAATGTTGTAGCAACATTTTGGTAAAAAACCTTGCTGGCTGGGAAGCGCCTTGTCAATCAAATTTAATGACTGATTCAGAGACTTTTGTTTTATTATAACAACTTACTATTAAAAAGGCAAATTCTCGAATAATTGTACACATTCATCAATCACATGTATGGAGGGAATAACTGAATCGGATACAGATGTGTTTGGATTACTGGACAACATTCAAAACAATAAACTTACAGGTCAGTTACGATTTGCTTCTAAATTGAAAATTTATTCTAAATTTATATTACTTTTTAGAATTTATTTATTTTTTAGAAACTTTGGATTCAAGTTGGAGTAAAGATAACAATAAGGATAATAGAAATACATCAGTTAGTCGAAAACTATGGTGTTAAGTTATCGATAATTCCAGTCTTGCATCATTTCACTGAGGCAGATTACACCAGTAACATAGAAACTAAATACAGTTCTACGTAGTAAACCATGAGCTTTGCTCATGGTATTGAATTGCAAAAAAAACTTGAACTTGACAAAACCAATCAAATGATATGTAATTTTTTATACTTTTTTTCTTATAGATATCTCAGATGCAGATATTGACTATCAATTCAGTCTGTTTAACAGTTATTGTTAAAAATACTAAAGAAAACTGATAAATTCGCGTCATTCGATATACTTAGGTTTGAAACATACCCAAAATTTGTTTTAATATCAGAGCTACCACCTATCAGTGCTACTATATTACTGCATATACTTCGAGCGTTTTACACTACATGTCAACAAATTAATTTATTAAATCCACTAACTGAAATAATTGATCCAGTAAAGTTTGGTTATTGCTTCAATAATGAATATTTAGTTCCACAAAAAGTAAATAATTTACTTCCATCTATCGATGGGCTTTTACCAAGTTGTAATTGTAAAGTTTACTCTACAGAAGCATTTTGCTGTCATAAAGCTAAATTAACATGCACTTTTTTTGCAAATGTCGCATAGATGGCACATACAAAAATTCTTACGAAAATAAATAATTATACATGAATAATATTATTTATTTATAAACAATTCTCATGTAAAACAATAATAGAGAATAGCATTGGAATAGGGCACATCTGTTCAACGATACCGCACCGCGACTCTAGACACAAGCCGCTGCGCTGCGAATTACTGTTGTTGTTAATGTTAATAACGAAACTAAATGGGAAAAAATATGCTGTAGACATTTCTTATTGTATTTTTTCCCGTAGAATCGAATTCCGATGTCATATCTTAACTAAATAATTATTTTCTTATCGAAAAAGCAAAAAAACATAATTTTTCCACTTAATTCGTTAATAACAAACATTTAACCAGGAATTTGGCCCGATACTCTCAATCTTTAGATTCAGAGACCCAAAAACATAAAGGAAGCCAAAGGTACCGAAGGCACCTGTCAAAAACACTTTAGGGTCACCAGCGGCTGGACTATTAGTAATGGAACGGCAGCCTGCAGGCTGCCTCCAGTATTATTTGTTTGAAATTTCAAGCTATGTACGATGTTTTTACTAAGCGACCGATCGCAAAAGAACCGGTGTTTTATAGTTTTATTATAATTAAGATACAACTAAATTAATAAAGTGTAATTATTCAAATACATTACAGAATTACTTTACAAATACATTATGGGATTTGAGAAAGTTTATATTCTGTGTTGACTTGTTTTTGCAGCCTGCATATGTTTTCAGTTTAGTACATTGTAAGTCTAAGTGAAATAATGGTGAATAGTTGAGAAATTTTAATGAAACTATTCTCAATGTTAACAAGGGCTTTTTATGTATTTAATATTCAAAGTAAACGGAGTTGTGAATATGATATAAGCTCTAATATACTTTGTGGAGCAATCATAAATCAATTTGATTATAAAATTAATAACAGAAAGACTTTGATGAGGACAACGTTTACTTTACACCATTAAAAAAAAAATTTACGATATCGTTATATTGTATTAACAAACTTAAAGGATTATCATACATGTTATTTTATGTTCGTTTATGTATTTCATATTTTCAATTAAAGCTGGTGAAATAATTCTTCACTATTTTTTATGGAAAAAGTTTCTTTTTTTTATTTAAATAAAGTAATATGATTGATTTCGTATTTATTTATCATTGTATATATTCTACATGTGATTTACATTTAAGAATTATGTGAAATAATATGAAAAAAAATTCTGACACCATGTGATTAATCATATGATCATGTAATTGATCATGTGATTTATCATGTGTTTATTCCAGTCGAAATAAATATATGATGAATCATGTCATCACTCTGGATGGTAACATCTTTTTTATCCAATAGGATTTTCAGTGTCATGTACAGTTTAGTTTTTAAACCCTTAGACTGACAGGTCGTTCTTAAATTAATATTAATGATATTATATCTAGTTAAACGAAAATCACACCATTTAACATCGCCAGTTAAACTATTAAAAATTTTTTCTGGCTTGATATCTTTGTGAATTATTGGATTTTATTACGAATGTAAATGTCTAAACACTTCTTAACTAGTATTACGAGGGTTGCTACTTATATTTTGAGCCTTGGCAATACTAAGTGTTTAGAGGCGCCATCTGACGTTTCCAGTGGAAAGTTTGACATTTTTAACCATAACTTTCTTCAGAACATTTTTTCATTTGAGTGCAATTTGTGTTGTTCACAGTAACTTGAAAAATTCATCTCGGGCAAAAAATGGAATTAACTCGTGAGCATTTTCGTGCGATGATTTTCTACGACTTTCGACGTGAGCTATCAAGACAGGAGTGCATCGATCAACTTACTTCGACTTTTGGCGATGAAGCCCCATCCCTTGCCACTGTGAAACGCTGGTATAACGAATTTAATCGTGGCCGCAGTTCGCTCGGGGATGAAAGTCGTGAAGGTCGACCAAAATCAGTTGTTGTGCCAGAAAACATTGATGCTGTGCACGAACTAATAAAGCAAGATCGGCATGTAACATATCGTGAGATTGAGGCATCCTTGGGCATTAGTATGACGAGCATCAATAAGATATTGCATGAACATTTAGCTGTAAAAAAGATTTGTTCGCGTTGGATCCCCCATAATTTAACAAAAGCTCAAAAAGATGCTCGCATCAATTGGTGCAAAGAAATGCTCAAAAAATACAATCGCAGTGCATCAAACGCTGTGTATAACATCTACACAGGTGATGAATCTTGGATCTATGCATATGAGCCCGAAACAAAACAGCAATCCACTGTATGGGTTTTCCAAGACGAGCCGAATCCAACAAAAGTGATTCGTGCGCGAAGCACTTCGAAGCAAATGATCGCCTGTTTCTTTGGAATAACTGGACATGTGGCAACTGTACCGTTAGAGCATCGTAGAACAGTGAATTCTGAATGGTACACAACCATTTGTTTGCCATTTGGTGAAATACGAAAAAAGAAGCGACAACGAAGGATCATTCTTCATCATGACAATGCAAGCTCTCACACATCAGCTAAAATAACCTCCTATTTAACTGGCCAAAACGTTGAATTGATGGGTCATCCTCCATACAGCCCTGATTTAGCACCAAATGATTTCTTTTTATTCCCGCATATCAAGAATAAATTGCGTGGACAACGTTTTTCGGCGCCTGAAGAAGCCGTTGATGCATTCAAAAACCATGTTTTGGAGGTACCTCAATCAGAGTGGAAAAAGTGTTACGAAAATTGGTTCGAGCGCATGCAAAAGTGCATTTATTATCATGGAGAATACTTTGAAAAACAATAAAGCCATTTTAGATAATAAAGTACTGTCTTTTCATTATTAGGCTCAAAATATAAGTAGCAACCCTCGTATATACTGTACTTTTAGCATAAATATCAAAAGTGAATGTAGCATTTAACTTTTCATCATAGAAAATATCTCGTAAATATTTTGTTTCAAAATATTCCATCAACAAATGAATTTACTTAGGTCCAGTGGGATATCCTAACAATATTATGATATTTTCATGTTTTACTTTTTTCAAAATTTCAATTTCAAAATTTGTTATATCTTGGACATACTACAACTTTTTTTTACAGCAACAACGTAATTTTTAAATATTTTTTTATACGCAACCCGCTGCTACCAGACCCTATACAAGTATCACTGATAGAAAATTCTGAGCTTTCGACTTCTTTTACTTCAGTTATTGGTTTCAAGCGTTTTAATAACTGGAATACATACTATTTCAGATATCAGAAAACTTTGTCTTTGCAACTCAGTATACATTTTTATACCATGTGGATATGGGTTAATTTGTATATATCCAAACATGAAAAAATGGCAGCAATGCCAAGCCTATCGTCAGATGTACCGTAATTTGCTGATGGACCATAAGCTATCTCGTGCTCCTCAATTCCTTGTTTAATGGAAAGAATGTATTGAGCATGTAAATTATCATTTTTATGTTTAGGCTTAGGATACTAGCTCTTGAATAGAATTTCAGAATTAAGTTATAACATATTTCAACAAA